AACGCAAGACGATAAAATTTGATCGTCCAGATTGTGATAATTAATTGACACAGAAAAATAATTATTTACCTTAAATGAAAATACTCAAGTCTACCCTTTTTTTGCAGAATGTACTGGAGCTAGCAAAACACTTGCCTAACGTTGTCTTATTAGAAGAAGTTCCATATAAACTCTTCAGTCATGCGGATTTCTTATGGGCAATCGATGCTAAAACTCTTTTATATGATCGTATAATAGAAGTAATACAGAAGTTCAACGCTTAACAAGATCTAGCTACAAAGTAACTAACCTGAAGTATAACACACTCATTGTTGGAACTGTTATAACTATTAACAGTTTACAATAAATAACAGTTATTGAATTATTTGATTTACATATGACGAAGTTTCCAACTTATTCATGAATTATTACACAATCTTTTATTTCCATCGGAACTTTAGAGAATTCAATAAATTCTCTATTTAGCAGACAATTGATCTATTCTTTGTAGCTGCTGAAGATGGTGCCATAAGTTTAAGCGAAATGAGAGGAGAGACTTAATTGACCACAATATGATCGGACACAACCAATCAAGTTGTTTGGTTGGTAAGGGTTAAGTAAAATCTGAGTGATGTTATTGGTTGTGTCCAATCGTACTGCGGCCTATTCTATGAAATGGCCGTAAGAATACAGCAATAACAAGTAAGAGTAAAAAATTAACCAATTGTAGTTGATTATTCTTTTCACATTCGATCGTGATTGATCCATTTCTTTTATTCTTACGCTATTATATAATATATATTATCAGCATATTTTCTGTATCACATATTTATGATGTTATCTATTGAAAATTGAATTAAACTGTTTGCAAATCTAATATATTTAGAGTAATGAAATTTTCTTTACTATGTAATTAAAATCAGGTATCCATTCATTCAACAAGATGTGAGGCAAAAAATTACTGAATAACTATTAAAATAACTAGTTATTTATGAATAACGATAGCCGAATAACGGGTTTATTAACAAATAACTATTTAGATCATCACTAGTAGCGGATACGATCGTATGTCGACGGCGATGAATTCGTAGGCGAGGCATATAGCGCGACGGATGGGGCGTTCGCCAAACAATGAGTGCACCTGTGCTTCCGTAATCATGGCGCGTGGGAATTGCGGCGAAATTCTAAGACGGGTCCGACGGATCGTGAACCGTTTCCGATTTTAACGGTATAAAAACGTAGACAGAAACCGAAACTTCGACGAGCAGTGTGGACGGTGTCGGCGATGAATTACTTCGTCGTATCCTTTGAGTATACAGACATGGAGGAGGAATTGCCTTTATTTCCTTTGATAGGCCGAAAGTGTGTCCAAAGTGTGTACGAGAGAGAAAGGTGATACAAGCGATACTTCGTCGTCTCTACGCGTGTGTCACAATTGTTGCATGTAGCACAGTTCCGGTATTTTCTGTTTCAAATTTATTATGCGTTTATCCGCACATGTGACCACAGCGACTTGTTATTGGGTTATCCACATGTCATTACACCATAATAGGCTAATGAGCCTTAATGAGCAAACGCCAAAACTACTGAAACTACTAAACTCGAAAACGCCAAAAATACTGAAATTCTGTAACTCGTTATCGGAGTTAACGACACTTTCGTTGTATTGTGCAGCTTTTGTGTACCGTAGAAAAACGCGTTCTGCGAGAGTGAGACCCGATTGACCACGTCTCTATTGAGCTACACCGATTGGCTGACGCTAGAAAAAGGTCAAATCACGGCTGGCTGGTTGGTGGTAGTCAATTGGAACGTGGTGAATCGGGACTCTCCCGTGTTCCACTAATCGCTACAGTATTGTAAACTATAGTATACGTAACTTGAACTATAAATTGGCAGTTCTGCGAAGATTACTGGAACGCTGCCCGAGTCAAGTTGAAGTTGCGTTCGGGAAACCACTTTTTGTGTGCAACCACTAAACACCAGCTATTCTGAAACACCCAGTCTGCCCTTTCTTGTTTGATTTAAATTTTCTTTCTGAAACCAGTCAACACGTCTAAAATATTTGCTCACATATAACTTACGATTGATGCAGGAAGCCGGACAATAAAGCTAGCGGCACACGATGCTTGTTTTCGTGCTGGATTGCTCGCTGGATGGAAACTCTGCGTCTTGATTGGTGTATTGTCATCCATGTTTGGAAATGCATCATTCGGAACGCAGTATTTCTATACACCAAGCAATTCAGCACGAAACAAACGTCATGTGCTGCAGACTTATAGCCATGCGTGAGTCAAGTGGAATCGAACTGCGGTCAAAAATCGGAGTGCAACTAAACAACGAGTCAGGCAAACATAACCTTCAAGTAGCGCGATTCCATCACACGGTCGGCCGATCGTTTATTTTTAAATAACATTATTCAACAGGTCGGAATCTCGTATTTTTAATTATCGTCACTCCAAAAGCAAGTTAGACGATCTTTTTATTTTCGAATGGTACGTCTCACTCACGGACATCAGACGATATCTTTATTGCAATTTATTGCTCGACAAACGACCGACATGCGACAGATTTGGATACAAATCGATCGAATATCCAGTGTGTTCGTTATTGCCTATTTGAATATCGAGAGATGTGCGAGAAAAATTCGTCGAAGAATTCTCTCCTTTCGAGAGATTTCGAACGAGGCGCGGTAACGGTTGTGTAATAACCTCTCGTTGCGCGAGATGGATCCCTAACCTATTTCCTAACCTCTACCGCTCGTATAACGCAGTTCGCACGTGACTTACTACATGACACGCGAAATCGAGACGTATTCGGCGAATACAGTGAGCAGTTTTGTCTACCAGCACTGAGAAGACGAGCTCACGGCTCGTAAATTCTAGTCACTATGGGCGACGAGAAAAAAGATGAACCTCACCGCGTTTTAGAGTGGATGGTACTCGATCAGATATCTTCTCTCGCGTTATCTCTCGCATCGTTTCATCAAGTGATCCTACTTTTTTTTCGTCAGATAAGACCGTGTATGGTTTACAAAGATGAGTACGACGACTGTACCAGTATAAAAGCTCGTTTTCATCAGTACTTCATATGGGGTGAGAAGATTGATTGCAGTCAGTGGAAGAAGGACTACCTCAACTGTTATCGGTGGGAAAAGCACAAATCGGAAGAAGCATACGTACGCAGGTTTTACTTTGTTTCTTTCGAGCGATACCGCGCATATCCGACCGAGTGATGTTGCCGAACGAAGTGTCGCATAAAAAAAAAATTACCCTTCGCGCAGGATGAATTGATCAGGAGCGAGAGGCAACGCCGGACGGAACGATTGCAGCCGCATTACGGGAACGACGTCTGGGAGAGGAGGGAGAAGCCACCGGAGAATTGGAACGCGCCTTTACCCGACTGGATGCAGGAGAAGTTCAAGGATACGTTTCTGCAGATACGAAGCAAAGAGATGAAGAATGGCGTCGAAGAATCGTACCTCGACAAGAAATGCACTATATTGTAACGGCGCGCTCCCGGCGAATTCGGTGGTGTTCGAAAAAAATCAAGCATAGCCTGCATATACACAGACTCGCACACATACACACACACACATACATACATACACACGGGCGCACACATTCGCACTTATTATTCGACTCACGCGCAAGGCGTAAGCCCAGCTACCTTTCCGCACGATTAAACATGCGCGATGAAAACGAAAGCGTCGGGAACGCGGCAACGGATAGCGGATCGATGAAGCGAGCCGGAGTATCTCCCGCCGGGGAGGTGCACGCCGTGAGAATCGAGGATGACATCGGACATTTGTACTTTCACACGTCGACAAAGCCTCGACCACCCCGTTTCCCTTTAAACCCTCGAGAAGAGTATTCGCGATGACAACAATGTTTGCGATTCAGCTGACACGATTGAATAGTTCGTCAACCATAATTGGTTTAAATTCAGTGATTCAGTAATAAAGGCCTATGATCAATGACTGTTCACTGATCACTTTTTTGCGTCGAACGTAGCCGATTCCAACGTGCTTCGCACAACGGGAGGGTGCGAGGTCGCTCGGGGACTTCTCGGAAGGAAATTCGGGCCTGTCATCGCGGCCGGAAAATACAAAATGTAGCCCAAATAGCCAGTTCACGTTTTTCGCGTTTTTCGCCCGAAAACGCTTCGGTCGTCGCACGCTCGGCGCAAAACCAATGCGAGAAACCATCGCCGGCGGTGAGGCTGCGTATGTCGGGCATGCGCAGTCGGGCGCGCTGATCTGCCGCTGTTCCGCGACAGTAGTAACGTCCTTTTCGTGCGCGCGGCGAGAAAGAGAGAGAGAGAGAGAGAGAGAGAGGAGTCGCAGTCCGCGCAAAAGTGGTCAGTACAAAAAGAAAGCCAGGGGACGCCGGAGGACTCGCGAGGAGGGACTGTCGTTTGAACGTGGCGCCCTTCCCGTCCCTTCCTCCGATATCGCCGCCTGCACCCTCCCCTCCCTCTTTCATTAGGCCGCTACGTGCGACGCACGCATCAACCACGGACCTAACCGAACGCGTCACTTTCTCTCTCTCTCTTTCCCGCACTCTTCGGGAGCGCGCACGCGAGAGACAGTGTTTGTATACGTGCGGACGCGGCGTGTACGTGTACACGAGTGCTGAATGAATGACGTAACCTATATACAACGAATAACGCGTACCAGGCGAGAGCGCACAGTGCGTTACGCCTCGGGTCGCTCCGAAGACGGACGGAGTAACCGCATCGCTGCTGGTTACATAGCTGGTGGTGTGTTCGGCGCGAAGAAGAGAGAGACAGATATACAGTGCACAACGTCGACGCGTTATCACGCGTGATCTCGAGCGGTGAGCGGAACGGAGCGGCGTGCGCGACGCCGCGCGCGTTGTTCGTCGCAGGCACGTGCGAGTGCGCGGCGACAATGGCCACGGACTGCGTGGACGGCGACTACCTCGGCGCGTACGCGCGCTTCTTCGCGGAGTTCGTCGCGAGGGTGAATCCGGACGATCAGCTGCCGGTGAAGGTGAGCGGCTACGACATCGGCGAGGGCGAGATCGTCGGTGAGATCATCAACGTGACTCTACAGTACCTCAATCAGACGTAAGTCACGCGCGCGTGTGCGTGTGTTTATTGTTTGGATTAGTCGGTCGCGTGGGAGAGAGAGGTGCGTGAAAAGGAGTGCGTATTTTTGACATTCCGCCGAAACGCGTCGACTGCCGCGCGCGCGCGCGCGCTTATCGAACGCAGCCACCGCGCTGCTTCCTACCTAAGCCGTGCCAGGCTCGTGTTTGTACACACGCCGGTATGTGTGTGTGTGTGTGTGTGTGTGTTACCACTCGACAAAAAAAAATGCTAATTAACATAGTCTTTGCGCACTATGCTTGAATTGATCTTGAAACGGCGCGCGTGAGCGTCATTTGATGTTTACTACAGCCCGATACGTTCTTCACGAGTATCTCTCGAGATACTTCGACGCTACTCGGCTAAATCGACGGTTTAAATAACGCTCAGCTATATTTGCCAACGTGTCGTTTTATCTATACAGACGTTTTAGTTACGTATTTATTTATTTATTTATTTATTTATTTATTTATAGTTGCGTATAGACGTTACAACGTTTTCACGGTGATTTAAGGCCGTAAATTGTAATAAGTTTGATAACAATTCGGTAAACTTGCACCGCGTATGCGTTGAAATATTATCTGACTGCTCGGGGATGCAATTGGGAAAAGATCGACCATTCGAAAGCTGAGATATTTGCAATTCAAGTTAAAGGCACTTTTAACGTCCGTTTTTTAATATCTTCTAAACCATAAAGATGTAAGATTTTCGTGAAAACTAATATGATATGAAAGATTAATACGCGCGCAGATATTGTACGGAAATTTCAAAATGATTAACTATTTCGTTTTGAAAATACAGCAGTGCAGCAGAGTTTATGATTTGTAATAATATTCGAAACATATATTATGTAGATACTTTGATGTTTATATACCTCTTCTATTGTCCGTGCATTTCTATCAGATCAACAGATGCATAAATGTAGTATCAATAATAAAAGCAAAATAAGCATTAATAATCAAAATAAAATTTAACTCCGTTCCAAAAGAACATTTATTATTTAAGCAGTGAAGTAAATATATATTTTTTTCCGACAAATACTAAATTTACGAGTGGCTTCCATAACGCGTCACTGAAAATGCGACACCGAGTCATACAACTCCTTTAAGAAAACTGTCACCTTCTATTCCTTTCCGCTCCGGTGACGGTCGCAAGACGCGGACAACGCGCCTTCCTCCGGGAACGATCTTCGAGAAGAGACAATAAAAGTCGCCGTTTCCCCGACACCCTGTGTATTGGCACAATGCGGCGACGGTGGTCTATTTCTGCGAGACGAGAAACGCCGGAGTTGCGAAATATTTTATCTCGTCGATCACAATAAGCGGTTCGCATTGTAGTCGCGCGGCGTATGAAAATACTCCCATCGGCGCGTTTCCCTCTTCCTTCTCTGCTCGCTTCGCCGCGATAAAGATCACGGTACCATCATCATGGTGCCGAGAAGAAAGAGAGAGAGAGAGAGAGAGCACCGTGCCGGGCGCGAAGAAGTCGACGCGTAAAAAGTTACGCATTGCTGCACGGTGCATCACGCGAGACAGAGAACAAAGGTGCGCGAGGAAGAGGAGGATGGAATTGCGTAAAGGGGCTCGCGAGAACTCGCATAAATACGCGCCGATGCCCTTTCGCAGAGCGCGCGAACTCTACCAGGCGAGAGTTCTCTGCCCGAGAGAATCGAGAGAGAGAGAGAGAAAGAGAGAGAGACGAAAGCCACTTCCGTGCGCGCGCGCTGCTGCGTCGTTATCTGCTCCGGCCGAAACCGCCCGAGTCCGTCATCAGCATTCGTAACGCAGAGCGAACGGAAAGAATGAACGACGGAGCGATAAAACGATAAGTGATAAACGAGAGATAGCGAACGCCATGGGCTCTCTTGCCGCGCCGAACTCACGGGTATCTCCTCTTTCTCCTCTTATCGTCGCGATAATTCTTTGTATTCTACATTGGAAAGTGAGTTTGCTCGGGTCTGTTTGATAATAACGGACCGGATACCCAACGCGTCTCGGTTGAAGGAAACGAAATTGTCTAGTTCTCACGAACCAAATTTCGTACTTACAACTGGAATTTCCGTTTCGATATTACAATTTCTCGCCCGCCGATGTAATTCGATACGTACAACGTGCGTTATATTGCACACATATTATATTTTGAGCGGGAAATTATAATATCGATGTGTAATGTTACTGTTAATCGGTGTTCGTTGTTGGGCTTTCAACCAAAGCGCGTACGGTTTCTCGTTCCTTCGCCGCGTCGAACGCTCACGTCTCCTTTCTTCTCATTGTCACGCTGTACTTCTCTATATTCTACACCGAGATATAAGTTTGGTTGGAAAATTTCCGCTTCTCACGAAGCAAGTTTGATTCTCATTTCTCGGAAATTCTGTTCCCTTCGATCAAAACGCGTCTGGCTCTTCATTGATCAAATAGATCCAACTCCAAAATCACTTTTTTATCTATTTATTCTACCTTCTAAATGCGAACATTTTTATCGATTATCGCGGTAAATCAAAGACCGACGTTCTTATAACGAGAAATTCTGTTTCCTTTAACCAAAACGCGCTTGGTCGTCCGTCGTTGCGCAGAAAAAAAAATTAGTCTTAAATCAAGAATAAATATTCTCATATATAAGCAGGAATATTCTAATAATAATCTTCATAGAAGATTCGTAGTCTCGATTTGATGGAATTTGTGTCGTTGGTAGTATTACTTGCACTCAATTCAAGGCCAAACATCTCCCAAGAAGATTATATCTTTGCTTATGTATGAGAACATCTATCCTTGATTTATATATATAAGTTTAATTCCTTTCTGTGCGGGCAAATCCAATAATTCACTTTTAGCCTGTTAATTCTGCTTTTTAATTGGAAACATTTCCTTACTCGGTTACACGGGTGAGTCACGGGTTCCGATACCAGTTTCGAACACCATATATGTATAATTACGTTGCGCTCTATAATTAAGTAGATTATGGATATTATCGGATAATTAAACGACATGATCGATCAACTTTAACGTAATTGTTGTAAGAATTATCACGGTGGTTTGGTGTCCGCGGAGAGTTAGTTAGCTAGCCGGAGGAACCCGTCCTTGAGAGATTTTCCCGAGAGTTCGAGACGGGACGTCCTGTGCGGGGAATTCCTCGTGCACGGCGCGAAATTATACGGTCTCGCGAAATTCCAGAACAACAGCCGCGCGTGCCAATGCGACACGAGCGAGGCGAACGGCGCGCGACGCGTCGCGCATTTCGCACGCGGTACGGTATCGATTTGTTTCTTTCTGTTCCGTGCACAATAGCGCGCACCACCTGTCCGTGGTAAACGGTTCTTTGTACCGTCAAAGTTGCATGAATTTATAGCGCGACACGCCTTGGTTTTGTAATACCCTCTATCCGAGCAATAGATATATACCTGAGGGAAATCATCGAAAGTGGTTGCCCGCGTCGTTTCTGCGAAATAGTCACAGAGAGAGAGAGAGAGAGGGAGATATATATATATATATATAATATAATGGGCTGTACGATCGATTGCAGATACTGTCCGCCGAGTTTACAGTCGTACATCGTATATCTCGTGATACAAGCGATCAAGTCGACATGCAAAAAGCAGCCGGAGATCTGCGGGCTGAGGCAGCAGGAGAGGGGTAAGTGGTATCGGAATCAGCGAATCAGCACGTTTTACCAAGACGATGTACTCGGCAAGTATACGGGCCGAAATACGAGCCGCTCGTTCGAAAAGAGCCACGTGAATCGAATTTCCAAACATCGCGACTATAAATGGAGATCGACCACGTGTAGTCAGGAGCTTTGAGATTAACCCTTTCAGCCATACATTTCTCGATGGAATTTTCGGAAATGTGGTATGCAAGTCGGGCTCGCTGATTGTGAATCTGAAGTCAGAGTTACAGAATTCAAAATAGCTGATCCAATATGGACCCAATTATTCAAAAATTTTGATTTCTCAATGATATCTTTTCGTGTTTGGAATATAAGTTTTTTTTCTTATATGTTAACAATAAGAAAAAAAGTTCAAATGGCGAATTGCTAGATAAGAATAGCGATACCTTAAATCTTCAAAATTAATGATCTCGTTTTTAACATTACTCGAAAATAATGACGAGGACGTAGCGAGTAACTATTTCAACGTTTTTTTTATATATTTGTATTTATAGCGCACCGAAGTAAGTTATCACTTCGCTTTATTTTAGCTAGTTATTGACAAATTTGTTAGGATAGAGGAAGAAGAAATTTACCAGAAAGAATCAAAATAAAGATTAACAGTATTTCAATAATTTATTGCAAAAAATTGAGCCAACGAAAAATTCTGTAAAAAACTTATGAAATATTATCAAATGTCCTTAATAAATTGATGATATTGTGATGTGTCGATTCCTAGTAGTTTGTTTACAAATGAATTTTTCTGAAAAAAAAATGTCTGTTTCTTAATTTTCCAGTTTATTTTTGTTTCCAGCGAGTTAACAATTAAGCATTTAAACTATATGCTATTTATTTTTATTTCCTTATGCTTCTGAGAATATATAGTAATAATATAGTCGACTACGACTGCCTAGAAGTTAGTTAAAATCACTAAAAATGGCGCAAAGGGTTAAGTTCGGGAGAAGACGCGGCTGAAGGTGAATTCTTCGAACGGCCCGTGTACGTCGATCGAAATGCGGTATAAACTCGCACAGTTGAACGCTAATGGTCGACCGGTCGATTTTTGCAGCATACGCGCCTCTGAAGCTCATGCAAGCCGTCACGAACGAAGTCAACGAGATCTGCAGGCGATATTTAGATAACAGCAGGCTGGCGTTACTGCCGCCGCCTTCGTCGACTCCGCAGGTGGTGGTGGGCGCCACGAGAAATGCCCGAAGAAAAATGGAAGATCGCCACGTGGTCCTGCACGACTTGCATACTATTTTTAATATTCAGGTAGGTGTAGCGTTCGCGTGACGACTCGATTGATAATTAACGGCCGATTGTTCCAACTTCTCGGCAAGATTTACCCGACAAATACCTATCGAACGGACCAATCAATAAGAGCCATTGATGTTTGCCTAATAGATATTTTAAGTACTGTAAATCTTACCAAGAAGTCGGAACAATCGGCCCTAAATTAATAATTAGGCAATCGTCGCCGGCAAAAAAAGTTACTGATTACCGAACTTCCTTCTCAACGGGTACCGAGCAATCTCTCTTAAAAAAAAACCCCCCATCATTTGCAAACTTTCCCTAATTTCGATGAACTTTTCTGCCACGCTTGCGGGTCAGAAGTTTCACGAAGCTCGCTCGCTGAGAGTGTTCGGTGAAACGTTCCTCCTTCTTTACGACCCTCCTTTTTAAAAGAGTTCGGTAAAAACGCGTTCCTCCTTCGGCCCGAGATCGAAGCGCCGAAACTGACACGTGATGTCGCAAATTGCAGGATGACACGATAGCGAATTACTACGCCGTGTTCGACGGACACGGAGGGCAGGATGCGGCGGCGTACTGCGCGACGCATCTCCATCAGTATTTGGTCGAGAGTGTGCACTATCCCACGGATCCGGAGCGCGCGCTGCGCGACGCATTCCTCACCACGGACGCGCAATTCATCGCTAAGTCGAGTACGCGGGTGAGTATCGCACACGGAGCACCGTCATCGTCATCCGCTCCTCCGTCTACACGACAAGAAAAATGTTGCTAGAACCGCAAATTATTCGTCAATATAGTGACAGGCAAAAAAAAATGTGTTCGGACAGCCGAGAAGATTTGTTAAGAGCATTAATTGCTATCCGCTGGATATACGGAGGGCAAGGTAATTTGGTTGTGCCGACTAAGTTTTATCGCCGTCGCAACGACATTTTGCTTCAACAGCAAAATTATTTTTCCCATTTGACAGACTTTTTTTTTTACTGTCGCTACATCGACAAACGATTTGCTGTTCCGGTAAAACTTGACTTTTCTCCGTGTAACGCTGAGTTAATCTCGATCGCATTCTGCTTAAACAGAGATTGAACGGCGGTACCACCGCGGTGTGCGTGCTGGTGATGGATAAGAAGCTCCACGTCGCGTGGGTCGGCGATTCCATGGCCTCGCTGGTTAAGCGCGGCTGCGTGAAGCAATTGGTAAATCCGCATCGTCCCGCGAGAGAAGTAAGTAGCGAGCACCGGGTCTCTTCCGTGCCTCCCCGATTTTACCGGCCGGACGTAAGATAATCGAACGTGCGCGGATTGTCACAGTCACGTCGCCTAAAGCTGTCTCTACAATAGAAATAGTAGCTTTAAGCCGTAAGAAATTGACCAATCATAGTCGGATATGAGAAGAATAATCAATTTCGATTGGCCAATTTCATACATATACCTATTGTACATACAATATATTGTATGTAATATATATATATATATATATATATATATATATATATATTGTATATACAGTACACTTATTGTAGACCCGGCTTAAGTCCCCATGGGATACGCAAAAGCGGTAAGCAAATCGACCAATCACAATCGATCATTCTTAGGGTGACTTTCGCCGACTTCGGTTAAAGTTAACTTACTTGGTTGGTTCAACGGAACTGACCAATCGCATTGATCGGTTTGGCTAATTGGCCAATGGACGATCGGTCAATTTTGTTGGATTAATCAGTCGGTTGGGTTAACCAGAATTGGTGAAAACGGCCCTTAGACTACGAGGAGAACAATCGACCGTGATTGGTCAGTTCGCTTACCGCTTACATCTTGCTTCCTTGTATGCGCCGTGGGCCTAATTCTCGCAGAGGATCTTGCTTCTGATCACATGGTCGTACAACACCACGTGCTCGTAAGACGGACAGCGTATCCGTACTCGGGTCGAGTGTACACCGGGCGACGCAGCGGCCGGATCGACGGTGATCATCTGCCGGTCGTGAATATTCTTGAGCAACAGACCGTGCTCGGGGTCGACGATCGGCAGGTAATTGCGGCTCTCGTTCAGGTGGGCTTTTCCCAGCCTCCAATGATAATACGCGAGATCCCGCTTGTGCGGCGACAGTCGTCGTTCCCCTCGGTAATACGGCAGCCAGTCCTCCTTCTCGAGACGGTCGCCGAAATCGATGTAGGCGGACTCCTCGAAGCGCGAACGTTTCGTCAGATGCCGGAGGAATACGACGGTCGAGAGAACGCCCAATCGGTTCGGCCGTTCGCGCAGGGCCAGCTCCTCCATCAGCTTGTCGCCGGGCGTCACGAATTCCGACGTGAGCTCGTAGGCTCGGTGCGGGGGGTACAGCAGGTCCCGCACGATCTTCGAGCGACGATAGAAACTCCCCTGGCTCAGGGTCTCGCCGGTGCAGCGGTAGCCGAGCTCGGCCAATTGCCGGGCGGTCTTGCCGCTTCTGAGATAGTAGATGTCGGCAGGACTCACTAGCGAGTCCAGGTAGTCCTCGTAACTCGGGAACTCGAGCAACCTCCTGTCACTGTCGATCCGCGTCCCGATGACCGTCATGTTCGAGGAGAAAGAAAGAGAGAGAGAGAGAGAGAAGCGATAACTCGCTCTCGAAACTTGCAATTTATCTGAATCCCCTGTATAATGCAAACAGTCGAGACGCGCGGAATGTATGTATGTGTGTGTGAGAATATCGAAGAGTATCGACACTCTCGACGCTCTTGACACGCTCTCGCCTCGTTATCGCGAGGATATTACGCTCGGCGTCGACGCGCCACGTGCGAGGCTTATCGAGGCAAAGTAGCGTCCTATTTACCATACGACGCGGTCTCTTTCTTCTCCCCAGGACGAGCAGGAACGGATTAACAACATGGGAGGAGTCGTTATCAATTGCGCGGGTGTTCTGCGGGTAAACGGGTTTCTCAACATATCACGAGCCATAGGTAAGCCCCGTTGCATTGTGTTGCACGCTTTTACATACGTGAAAATACGCGAGGGCGTTTGTTCAGGATACGAGGAGGCCTCGTATTCATTCAGTTCCGCCACGCGACGAGACGAATTTACGGGCGATACCTCGGTGGAAATAATCGAGAGGCACTTTCACGAACGCGCCTTCCGAAAGCACGATTTACCCTCTCGGCACGATTTTCGCGCCGTCCCGAGCGATTTACCAGCCGGCTCTCGAGCGACGCCACGAAGAAGACACGGTATCAACACACAGATGGAGACAGTGACGTCCCCATGGCGGTCAGTCAGTACTGTAGCAAGTCGCGTTGTGTGTCGACTCGCGTCGTTCCGAGTCCCGCGGGAAGTCGCAAGTGGGAAGCAGATTTTACCTCGAAATCACGACTATAAATGAGCTCATCGAAGAGATCTTATATATAACGGAAATGTGTTCTCCTCTCGAAAGTTAGGACATGGCGAAACGTGGCCGTAACAAAGTTCGATTCATTTATCGGAAAGTCGCGGGAAAGCAGACTCCCACGGTCTCCCTTTAATTGCAACCAGACGAAAAAGCCCACTTCTCTCCGGAGAATCGCTGCACGAAACGTTTCATGCATATGTAAGATCGCGCCTTCCGTTTCTTTCGTTGTTGCGAATCTTTCGGAGACGCCCCGCTCGCTTTTCGCGCCTGCCTGAGTTCAAGGTTTCGACCAGGCTTCGACGCAAAAATGTAACTTCGATAAGCGCGAATTTATATGCCGCCGGCGCGCGCGAGAGAGTAATATGTTTACTCACAACGCGCGTCCGGGTTGGTGCGCGACGACAATCGCGCAAAGCGAGGCTTGCGTGGCATAGGATATTAGAATCATTTGAATAATCGATGTCGAGTCGATATCGAAATCGACCGGCCGGCAATTTCAGAGACGCGTTTCGAGACGCGAGTCGCGTACGGCGAGGGCGCGCCATTTACGGGACGAGCGCGCCCGGGCGAGCCCAACTACGGCTCTCGTCGGGCCGACGGGGGAGTGAAAAAAAAAGGGGACGAAAAAAAAATTCTAGCCGCGTGTCGGGTATCCTGTTGGTTCCGTTTGCCCGCTGACACAATAGTACGTGCAGTTACGCTCCGAGAGCTCTACCGTGCGGCTCGCACGATCGCATGTGCGGAATAATTAAAAGGCCATAATTCAGCGGCGTCCATCTTGGTACGCTCGCGGAGTTCGGCGGGCCGATATTCGACCGGCGCCATTAACAGGTGATTCTTTCCTCCAGAACATCTTCTCTTCTTAGCACACACACACGAACACACACACACGTTATAATTTCGAATTAAATTTATTGGATTTTTCAGACGTATACAATCACTAGAAACGTAGACGCCTACGTTGAGAAAAAATTTCTTCAAATTTGATCAATTTTATTTGCATCCAAACAAATTTCATCATTGGCATGTTTCGATTAATAAGTACAATTGCTAGACTTTTCAACGTATATTTAGCTTAAATAAAAAATTTGTTTGCAACGAAAGATAATTTTCCTATAAAGAAATGATTTGTTTCATTTCACATATTTATTATAGCCAAATAATATTTTGCTCGGTTAGAAGATGCTATTTCAAATAATAGCGTTCCTTCTGTTAAAAAACAAAGTTCTCTTGAATGAGAGGATAAAATTTTGAAACAAACTTTAGTAATAAATAAATCGAAATATTAAGTCTAAAGAAATCTTTTTCTCTGTGTATGAGAACTGAGATTGTTCGTGTGAGTAAATTTGTATGGGAGGATGAATATGATTGACGGTGTAAACGCACGGCAAGTGGGAGGATCCAAGTTCGACTCCTGGCTGAGTTAGGCGGTTCACAATATTTAAAGCAGTCAATTAACGTTAATTAATTAATTAATAGTTTGGGAACTTGTAAATTTATTAATAATTAGATCGATTTGACGTGAAAAGTAGATTTCTCACGTATGAAAGAAGTCTGGCGAAGTTAATCAAAAAACATATTTATTCTCTGATATAAATTTATCCACGCACCAATAACCCTCGCTCGGCATTTACAGGCATTTCTACGTTGTGCTTCTAGTTATAATTTCGCGCGCGCGCGCGCGCACCTTACGAATTACGAGGAGATTCGCGCCGATTGAACGCTTTCACGAGTAATTTCCACCTGGTTTCTTGAAATTTATTCCCGTAAAAGAGGTCTCACGGGTGGAAACTAACCTAACAACACACGTTCTTTATTTAGTTATTTAATGACTTGTTATCGGAGAGAGAGATATATATGTGTTTATTATCTGCCACGGAAGTTATTTATGACTCAGCCGCGTATTCTCGTTAGATATTACATCACGTAAAGTGTAATCTGTCGATTGCATCAAAAGATCGTGAATTACATAAGGCTTAGTGCGTTTCGCTGTCCTCTTGCCGAACCCCGATCTCGTCTCTCGCATCATCGATAAGAAGAATATGAGTGGATGCTATTTTCGGACGGGATTTCTCGGAAATGGCGCAAATATTACATTCCGCTTTCAAACGATACGCAACGTGCAACATTCAGACGAGACGAAAGTTGGGCACTTTGAGCCGAAATCCGCGGTATTTAATTCGATTGGTCGAACCGCCGGCACGACACGCAATACGGACCATTTTATTCGCGAATGTTTCTCCGCGTACGTAGGCCGACGAAGCCCTACACACACACACACACACACACACACGAGACGCGTTGGTCTCTCGCGAGGAAGGCAAGGAAGAAAAAGCGCCGTTCGGGATTCATAATAACCGGAAGCGGCGCTGCGGTGTTGCGGTGGCGTCATTATTTAAATTAGCAGCGCTGTTCATTAAACAGTTAATTATAGTTAATTGCGCGCCGCTTGTGCTGCTGTTGCTGCTACTGCAGGCGTGTTTTTCGCATGTAAAATATCGGAATTACGGTTGCCAATGGATAAAACCGTAACAGTTACCTCGGACTCGACTTCCAATCTAATCGCATACTTTCGGAATTGAGCATTCCTTTACGCTTTTCGCGTTCACGCTCTTCTAAGCGTACGCCCGCACCGCCGCCGCCGCGTTACACGTCAGCGTCTCTCGAAACAACCGGCGAGAGATCCCTCTTTCGTATGTTCGTTCCTTTTCTTTCTTTTTTTTTTTTTTCAATACTCTCTACTCTCTTTTCCAGGCGATGTCTCGCACAAGCCGTTCGTTACCGGCGAGCCGGAGATCCGATGTGTCTCCTTGGACGGCACCGAGGATTTCCTCATAATCGCCTGCGACGGACTGTGGGACCACGTGGACCCGAGAACAGCCGCGCAACGAGTCTACCGGCAGGTGCTGCAAAGTCCACGTGAGTGCATCTTGATTAAAAACGCTGCAGCGGTGGTACTTGCACGTGAGGCGTCCGAATCGCGGTTACCAATCGCAGCGTGTCGGTCCTCAGGCGGCATCAAATATACCTAACTTTGGACGTTCCTGTCGTTCGGGTCTTTAAATATACGAATATTTAAACTCTGAATATATAAAATATATGTATATATTCAATAAATATACAGGGTGATGCACGCGCAACGTGATCAGCTTGGTTTATTCTGCTGTTAGTGGACCGATTGAAAATTTTTTTTCTAGTATAATATGGTTCAAGGTGAGCTTTAAGATGATTACATTAAGTTTACGATGCATAATTCTACACGAATGCGCAATTTTCAATCGGTCCACTAACAGCAGAATAAACTAAGCTGATCACGTTGCGTGGTTCACCCTGTATATATACAGGATGTCCCTTAAATATCCAGCCATACTCAAAGGGGCGATGCTTCGGTTTATTTCGAGTAAAATGTTCGTATTAACGTGTACTTTAAACGGCTTAGTTTCCGAAATACCAGAGTGCTTTAAAAAAAGATTAAACGTGATGATCTATTTAAAATGCCAGTCACGGAAACAAAAACAGCAGTAAGGGAAAAATACAAAAATAGGCGCTTCGGTTCTTCAACCTGATATCTTTGAGAAGGAGGGCCGAAGGGTGTGTCTTGACGGAAAGTGGTTATTTTCAACAATTCATTGTTTCGTTTTTTATTTTTCATTTTTTGGCTATTGTGTTTTTGAAATATCATGATGCGTTAAAAACTTACAGCAGGTTTCAATGAAATATCCTCAAGTCTTTGTGAGACCTACATTTTCCTAAAAGCTTGAACACCCTGTATTTCAGAAACTAAGCCGTTTAGGATATATGTTTGTATGAACTTATTTATCTAAAATAAACCAAAGAATCGCCCCTTTCAGAGTATGGCCGGATACTTAAAGGACACCCTGTATATTCTATGTTGAAAGTTTAAATATTCATATTTAAAGGCCAAAACACAGCAGGAATACCCAGAATAAGGTACATGTTCAGGCATTGATACCTTTACCTTAGGGCCGTCACACATAAAATGGCACAGCTGCATATTAATGACGGCTGACGATTAATGACGGTCCTCAATGAAGAGACTGAGGACGCCGAAGTGCCGAACCTGTGAGTGAACTTGATTCGCAGGTTTCTCACTCTCGTCGATTGAAAACCTTGCATTGAAAACATTCCACTCAAAGGAGGAGGAGGGGAGGGACGGTTACTTAGCGGCTATTTTCGACAATGGATAAAACCTGAAAAGAAAAAGCGAACTTTTCCGCGCGTTCTAAGGCCAGAGTCTGGTCGTGTTCCACCAGCCGGTGATTTTCCATTGAAAAGTCTCGCGGAATTGCGAAATGCTGGCTTTCCTAATCGGAGAGGTTTTTATCAGCCGTCGCTTTAGGCGCAGAAACAGGCCGACGGAGAAAATCGATTCGAGCCTCGCCGAGTTCGATAAACGCGCGCCGGCATGTACAAGCAAGTTGCGCGCGCGATCGCAACGCAATTTCCGCGCGATAAGCGCGCGCTCGCGGGATATCCGAGTTGGAAATGATTTCCATCCATCTATCTATCGCGCATCGCTCGCAGCTCTTCCTCGACGATACACGACGCCGGCGACGGCGAGAAAGCGGGGGAAACGATGTTTGCCGAGGAATTTGTGCTAGAAAAGACGAATCTCTTTGTAATCCCAGTCGCTCTCCTTGTGGCCTTGTCATGCTCTGCTTCGCCGATTTCCGGCACGGACGCGACACAAAATTTGCCTAGCGCTTCGCGTCGTCTTCCTCTCTCGCGACCGGCCGGTCTCCCGACGATCTTACCCAACGATCTCTTTTTTTTTTCCTTTCCATCGCGCACCGAAAGATCGGCTCGAGATGCGGAACTGCGCGGCACGCAGAACGGAGATGACGCTTCGATAACATAATTCCATTGTCGACGAGAACTATTCGGCGTCCGGCGATCCTCTTCGCGTAGGTCGAGCTACTTTTTACCCGAGAGAGAGGTGGTGAGAGGGAGGTGGAGAGGGGAGAGAGAAAGAGAGACGAGAAAGCGGGAAAAGATAGGAACAGCTGAAGCAGCAGGTGAGCGAGAAATTACCACAATTTCGTGCAGGTGCAGCTGTCCACGAGCCGTCTCCTATTTTTATCATTCTCGTCGGGCAGGAAATGCCGATCGATTTCGCGAACGTTTAATAGCAATTAATACCGGCGGCTACATTATAACCGGTCGACCGATCGCCGATCTTTTAATTCCTCAAGTGGAAGTAAAGGTAAAGGAAAAATGTAAAGGAAACCTGTCGCGAAACATTCTCGATTATCGATTGTTTTTGAAGAAAGGCCGGACCGGCCATTCTAAATTCGTATTTTTCAGCTTATAACGTGAGAGTTGGAAATACAGAGTCTGAATAAAATGCTTATCATGTCAAATGATTTGAGTTCAAAATACAGAATCTGAATGAAATGTTTATCATGCCAGATCAGGAAAATGATTTGAGTTCAAACTGAACTTGTTACTATAAGAAAAAGAGGGTTTTCGGAGAAAAAATTCCTCAAATAGTTTTGCAAGTGCGATTTAAGAAAAAGTAATGTTCGTTCGTTGTGGCGGGCATCTGGTACTTTAAGAAAAAAAAAAAAATAGCACGCCATGCGAAAACTAGAAAACCGAAATATGTTAAACGGTCCACTGGACCGGAATGTGGCGAGCCACATAGTAAAAATACACCTTTTATTTGTATCAAAATCGGTTCTTATTAACATTTTTGTGTAAAATTTTTAAAAACAATTTTTAAAAACATATCTGTGTTAATTCAATGTATTGTGCTTAATTGAGCTCAATTTGTATATTTTGTGTTGAGTTGATATTCAACATGTGTAAGTGTTAACATATTTTATACTTCAGTATCGATTAACTAATTATTGTGAATGTTAATTTTGTGTTAATTTTGTGTTAATTTTGTGTTAATTTTTGACGTAATATTTGTATTATTCTTCAACATGGTCACCTTGTGTTAAGTTAATCAAAATTCGTGCGGACTGTTTGCGACATGTGAAATATGTCACATTTAACACAAAATTATTTGTACTATGTAGTATTAACATTTATATCCCCCGGACAGTCGCAGTTAGATACTTAATGGCCAATTTTGTGTTTCCTTGGTCGGTGACCAACAGGTCCTTGTAAACATACAGTTTTTCGATTGTTTCTGATTAAAAGACCGTCAGCGTCTCGTCAGCATTTTTCCGCTGGAGGAGAAATCGCTCGAAAGATTCGCGGCTGAAATGTAGAAGAAACGTGATTCACCTCCGTGACACTCCGTGCACATCATTGAATAATAGGAAAACACAGAGTCACGTGAACTTGTCGTTCGCGTATTGTCGTCGAGACGTCGTCTCGGACGACAAACCTTCAATCAGCCGACCGCTTGTTTTCGCGTTTCGCCGCTCGGGAAATGTTTGCGATTATTGTTTTCCGCGCGCCAACGACACGAGTTTGCGTCGTGCGTGCGTTGTACGTACACGGGCAGACGTTCGTAACGTCTCTCCCCATGTTATTGGCCGCGATCCGGCTTTTTGCTGAGTATCGAAGAAGGCAGGCCTGCCGAATGTAACGCGGCACGGCTGTGGTGCTCGCCTCTTCCTTCGTCCTCGGGCGAGCAAGTCGATGCCTGCAGCTCCTCCGATCATTCGCTCGCTCGTCATCCGTCTGCACGGTCGGCCCGTCTTCCTCCTCTCTGTCTGTCCGTCTGTCTGTGTCTCTGTCTTCTTCCCTCCCGTGCCTGCCCGGGACGTTTTTCCTCCGATTGATTTTCCGCCACGATTATAAGCTCGCGTCGGTTGGTGACTCAGTGATTCACAGTGATTCATAGTGTTGCCAAGGAGGAGGCGCGAATATTCACAGGGAGTCCGCCCGATCGACTTCGAAGGTTCCTCTCTGGTGAGTCGAATCGAACACACGTATACGTATATGGACGGTTTTTTTTTTCTTTTTCTTTCGAAGTTTCAACAGGACTTCGACTCGTTCAACCTTTTTCAACCGCCGAGGTTGATCGATCGAGGTCGCTGTTGAAATCGCGATTTGCCGTCGTGAATTAACGAACGTTGTAGCCGGCCAGTTGCGTAAACGTTGCGCGTATCTTCTGATATCGCCTTTTTCATGTCTGCCTTTTGCCTGTGCGAGACTCCTGACGCGTGTATAGCCTTTCTAATAAGCGTATCGTCACTTTTACGTCATTTATCGTCATTTTACAATTGAACCTTGTCGATTTGACCGTACATAAGTTGTCCTGCGGTGATTATGTCTGATGATGAGGTAATAATTGCAATTTCTCAACATTCTCACGATTATTGAGCAAACTCGTCATTTCGCACAGCGCTCCCCCCCCCCCTTCCTTTCTCTCCCTCTCTTAATAATTCTATAATAATTATTAATTTCATCATTCGGAGAGATCGTTACGTCTCGCCCGCCCAGCGATTTCAATTACCTCCCCGGCCGGCCTCATTTAATTAGAAAAAAATCCTCGGCTTCGTAATTAACGTCGAGAACGCATCGTCGCATGTCCGTGGTCGACGTTGCCTCGAAAGATTAGTACTCGCCGATCACGGACATCGACATCATGCGATTGCGCTCGCGTATGCATGACGCGCATAGAAATCGCGACTGCAAATGCGTCTATAGGGTGGTACCACGACGACGACGACGACGTCATCGTCGCCGTCCCGGCGAATCTTGCAGAAGAGGGACTCTGAGTAATCGAGCAATGGGGCAATATAATCGGCAACGCGACGGCATTGTCGCCGTGTGAAAGACATTTTCCCAAGAGAGTCGAGTAACGCCATCGTCGTCGTCGTCAAGTTGTCGGCCGTTCGCATTCATCGAAAGGAGTCCGGAAATCTCTCACCGTGAGCTGTTATACGGTACACAGCCGCGCCGTGAAAATATGCCTCGCCGTTAGGAAGCGCGCGATT